CACTACCCCGACGATTACGGCAGTATGTTTTCTTGACGATCACTTAGTAAATATATCCTCAAACCCTACCATATGTTTTAGGGGTAGCGATTAGTGAAATCACATCATTTTAGGGTAGTAAAGAGTGGATTTTGAGTGGCGGGTTGAATAAGCTTGTGATAGAGTTCACATACAAGTTTTTCACATGCGAATTACTTTCCTTCTTTATTCTGTAGTCCTAACGTACATTGTAAATACTTTCCGGCAAAGGGTACGCACTGATGAGAGCGGTCATTTTGTGATTTGCCAAGTATTTGCAGAGTTCTGACGATGTACAAGTCTTGACAGTGTGATACTTCGCAGAACATATCTTGCATATTCGTGGATTTCCTTTGCGCTTGTATTCACGTCGATTCCTGGCACGTCGACCCTTTTTACGCCCTCGATGACTAGGATTGTTTGGAGGATATACCTGACATAATTTGCTCTCGATATCGAGTTCATTTGTAATTTGAAGAGTCTCCGAATACTGCTTCACGTATGTCTTGACATGAGATACAGGGCTGTACCTGAATATTTAAAACAATGGTGGAAATATAGTAAATATAGTGGAATTTCGTTCAAACTTAAAATAGGTGAAACCAGTAAAATCAAGTGACTGCAGGTTGTACTTTTCTTTGAATTTATCATGCCCCCGGGAGTTGTCCAATGCTAATGTCATCAGTTAGTTCTGCCTCAACGCTTCTCGACGCAAGCATGCGCAAACCGATACACCTAGAGTGTGTGAAATAAAACGTTCATTAATGTCAATTCTGCCTGCAGTAGTGGCTGGCTACTAGCATGCTTGACAACGCAAAACAAAACAAAATCATTAGACCTACCATTAGACTTCAACGTTACTGAATATCGACCACGTACGGGTTCGTGTCTCAAGTCTTGAACAGTTGCCATGACACAGTCCTTTGAAACTGTAGTAATTCCATGTAGAATAGTCATCAGTGGTAATTCGATAGTTCGGAACAGAGTTTGTTAATGAAATAACTATCTCATTAAGAGATGACACATACCTTTAGTCAGCAGTACTTTGATCGTTGAACCAGTCAACTCCCGTATGTATTGTATGTGTTGTAGTGCGGGTTCGGTCAGTGTATGACCGAGTGTGTATAGGCTAAAAGACTCAACTTGTCGACGACAGAACTTATCAGCAACGTACGCCAAGAATCCTCGGTTGAAACTCACCTAGTAATGAGTAAGCGTTAATCGATGCGAAGTATGAATTATACATGTCTTCTCATAAGTGCATCAATTCAAGCGCAGAAATGTATCACAAACATATCAATTCAAGCACAGAAATGTATCACAAACATACCGGTCCCAAGCTACGTAACAGGTCGAGTACGCCGTTTGTCTGTTCTACTGAATTCGAAGTCACATCGCCAAACCTGCAAATATTGATTTCTAGTACGTATACGAATTGATTAGAATATATAATAAATGCGATCGATATCCACAGTATAAAAGAATTCAACATACCCACTGCTGCTGCGATAGTGTCAAACTCACCAGGGTCCGCAGAAGTGTGTGCGGATATAGTGTATTCCTTTCTATGCTTCAGCATGATCCCGGCGACTTCTTTGTGTCCTCGATTCTGTATTTCTTTAATGTAGTGCTGATGTGTGTGCCAGCAAATACAATTTATAAATTGTTCTCAGCTTATCAGGGGTTTGCGCATATCGGTAATTCACAAATAACTACACTACAAATACAGAAAAAAGTATACCTTGAATTCCTCATCAACTGGCATGACTACCGACTGGTACATATCATCCAGAGTTTCCTTATTATACTGGAAGCCCTTTTTCGATGCTAGTGTCGTTCCATTGTCACGAAAGTGTTTCTCGCACCTAGCCAATAAATTATAACAAGTAGCCAATTTACCTTTTTGATATTACTATTTAACATAAAAACCCAAATAAAACACAAGTTAGGGTAATCAGAAAACGTACCGTCGGACCCCAGTAAACGTATGTTACTATTGACTGCCCCGCAGGGGTAGTGGATAGTGGGGTACATCTATATATATATATATATATATATATATATATATATATATATATATATATATATATATATATATATATATATATATATATATATATATATATATATATATATATATATATATATATATATATATATATATATATATATATAT